AACTTTAAGACTTGTGGACTTCAACTCCCAGAATTCCTCAGCCAGCTTTGCTGGCTGAGGAATTCTGGGAGTTGAAGTCCACAAGTCTTAAAGTTGCCAAGGTTGGACACCCCTGCTTTACACTTTTTGAAATTGGTAGTTTGTGGACCGAGTCTTATTTTCTTTTGGGCCCCCGAATAAGCACTAGGGCTTATTTTCAGGGTGATCAGCCCGGCTAGGTGCCCTGCCCCCCCAAGCCAGCAAACATGCAGGGACCGATGGTATCCAGCAGCAGCTGCAGTCTGCCAGTCCCTTAGTTGCCACACTCTGGACCTACGCAGAACGTAAGGCAGGTAATCCCAGTACGTTGCGCAGGCTGCAGGCAACCCAAGAGATATGAAGACGAGCCTCCTGTGGCTGCTTTCCCCCCCCCCCCCCCGCTCTGGCCTACCACCTGCACGTACAAATGACTTGCCTCCCCCCACACCTCTGCCTCTGTCTTAACAACACAAGAAAGGTTGTATTCATCATTTCACCTGAATGTATTCTTTTGCTTTTTGCTGTAGTAGTCTATTAGGAAAGGTCTGATACTGATAGATGATACAGTGAAAAATAAAAGCTTGTTTGGTACTTCTAATTAACATCGAATAATATTTATGGAAGTTTTGTTTACCTCAAATATGGTATCTTATAATCAATAAGTGCTAACCATAAATAGCTGTTTATTAAAACAATGAAAATGACCAGACACCATTGCATTGAATTTTAGTTAAGCGTGTTTTCTTGCTTCCTCTTTATATAATTTGTACTGTGTTTGGTCTTAGTTTTCAAAACTAGCTGTAGCAGTAGCACTTAGACTTATATACCGCTTTATAGTGCTTTACAGCACTCTCTAAACGGTTTACAGAGTCAGCATCTTGCCCCCAACAATCTGGGTCCTCATTTTATCCACCTTGCAAGGATGGAAGGCTGAGTCAACCTTCAGCCTGGTGGGATTCAGTCTGCCAAATTGCAGGCAGCTGATAGTCAGCAGAAGTGGCCTGCAGTACTGCACTCTAACCACTGTGCCACCGATAAATAAAAGCTAAAAAGGTCCTTTAAAAAAAAAAAACCTCATATGCATTTTTATGTATTTCTGTTACTGCCTCTTGCCTCTTTAGTGTAACTTTTTTCTTCTTCCTTCCTTTTGCAGATTTTGTTGATCTAAATAATGGCAAATTCTATGTGGGTGTTTGTGCCTTTGTGAAAGTTCAACTTAAAGTAAGCATGAACCTATGGGTGGGTATTCTAATAAAGTGGAGTTTTTAGGGACAGACAGTTAAATCAGCGGTCCCCAACCCCTGGGCCGCAGGTAACTACCGGGCCATGGTCTGTTTGGAACCCGGGCCACACCAGCAGTGGGCGAGCCATGTGTGCATAGCTCCACTTGCGCGAGCAGCAGGTGCTCAGGCTTGCATACGTAGCTCGGTTTATGAGTGTGGCGCGCATATGCGCCTGCTGCTCAAACAAATGGACCGTGCACAAGAATTTGTGCGGCTGCCATTTGCATGGAAACATCCCTCCTACCCTGCTGGGCTGCCAAGCCAGAAAGGTTGGGTACCGCTGAGTTAAATTATATCCAAATGTGCACAATAAGAACTCTTGAAGGTCCTATTTATAGTCAGGTGGAGAGACTCTATTGTTACATAAAACTGTTACTATTGTCAGTTCTGTTACTGGGTGAAAGGGATTATTTAATGCTGAAGAAGTTATTCCACTTACATTTGCCTCCTTGTTATAGGCCAAAGACACACTTGCCTTGAAGAATTAAAATAGGTTGACGTGGTGCAATACTGCAGTAAATCTCAATAGGTTCCAGAAAAACTGAACGCACCACAGTCATCCATTCATTTTCCCCCCCCTTCAAATATTAAGAAAAGGCATTGTGAAGGTAATTATAGGAAGAGGAAATATAGTATAACCTCCTCTTATTGCAGGATGGGGCTTACCATGAAGATGTTGGCTACGGAGTAAGTGAAGGCTTGAAATCTAAGGCCTTGTCCCTTGAAAAAGCAAGGAAAGAGGCTGTCACAGATGGTTTGAAGAGGGCACTGAAGTAAGAGCAACCTGCACACACAATGTTTTTTGTCATGCAAAAGAGAATTACGTTTTAAGAAGCAGCCATCTGTCTCTTCAGGTGCTTTGGTAATGCTCTTGGGAACTGTATTTTGGATAAAGACTACTTGCGCTCAGTGAATAAGCTCCCCCGTCAGGTATGTTATGGGGGGGGGCGGGGGGGGGAGAGGGGAGGAGAGCAGGTTTCAAAGAAAGTAAAAATGCCAAATTCTGGAGCGAGCACAAATTGTAAAAGCAATAGCAACTTGCATCATTTATTTTTCATAATCACCAGATTTCACCATTCGGCTTTTTTTCCTATTAGAAATGTTCCCTTTTGTTCATTATTACTCAGAACTAAGCCAAAAGTATTACATCATTATTCTAGCATTATATAAAACAAGGTTCTTTAAGGGGGGGGGGCTTATTTTGAATAAGATTCTGTAACATGCACAAAAACACACGTACCTTCGTGTAATTTTTATGTGGACCTTAGAGAATATTGTTTTCTACCTTACGGCCCTTCAGATAAATTAACTTGAACCTGTGGTTCATTTATTTATTTATTTGCCTAAAAGCAAGGTTAATTGAACGTGTATTTATTTTTGCATGATCATGTCTAAGATTACACTAAACTTATAAGCTGTCTAAAGATTCCTCTTTCAATATCTCTTACCATGGCCACAACATTACCCATGATTTATGTACTTTTAAAAACCTGTAATTGGATAACTTTAGTCTAGTCTCAAATGTTCCCCTTTTAGGGAAGATTGTTGGCTGGCAGCTGCAAATGGCCCTGGATATAGCGAATTATCTGGATCCTTTTCAGTCTGGGTTCAGACCAGAAAACAGCACTAAAATGGCATTGGTTGCACTTAGTCCAAAGCTCTCCAAACTTGGCAACTTTAAGACATGTGGACTTCAACTCCTAGAATTCCTCAGCCAGCATAGCTGGCTGAG